ACAGAGACAATTAGGCATTGAATAACATTTAAAAGACAGTGATATGAATTGTATTAGATAATATATATTTAAGAAAAATAACACCGCATCTTTCTGATACGCAATAAATTTGTTCGAAACTAAAACACAACCACATAAGAATGAGAAACGGATTTCAAATAGAATATGGTAGAGAAGAGAAGAGTTGCACAAAAGGAGCTAAGTGAATGTCAAGTATGATATTCATAATGAACAATATATGGTAATTTATAAACTAGTATCAACTTACCAATATCATCCACATCAACACTATCATTATTTAACTAATTAATATTCACTTTTAACTTTATTTCATACAACCATTCATACAAATTCAGTCCTCTTTTCTTACACATTATTTTCCGCTATATTTCTCTGCATTTCTACACTCGTTCTTATAATTAGTCATTTATTTAGATAAGTATCATTCATGCGTAAATCACTAGGGTGTTTTTTGTTGATTTCCCAATAGTCACATACAAACACAAAATAAATATACACATATAATGAACTATAAATAAACATACATACATACATAAAGAGGGAAGAGGAATATACTAGATATGATTCGACATGATCTCTGTTTATTAATTCGTCAATTTAGTTGTTGCCACCATTCTTATATTTAATCTGGTTGTATAAGCCTTCACATCATCATTATCATTTTGACTGTTATTCTATTCCGAAAAGTAATAATCATATTGTGATGAACTGAATCATGGAGATTGTCTTAATTATGATGTTATCCGATTTGTTAACATTTCCATTCGTGCGTCAGTCCCAAAATTAACGTCTTCGACTTACGATGAGGATAGGAATACACAAGAAAACTGAAGATAACATTACTGACATTACTTAACAAGGTCAAACTCAGGAACTTTACTGAGTCAGCTGACTGGTTTGCAATGAAATTACGTCCAAGTTGCCCATCTCTCTCTCCCTCTCTCTCTCTCTCTCTCTATATATATATATATATATATATATATAGAGAGAGAGAGAGAGAGAGAGAGAGACTTATTTACTTATTTACATAAAATAATGTCATGATTGAAACTATGTATACCTTCGCTTTGTGTTACATTGTCTGTAGTTAAACAAATTTAAATTACGGTAGGATTCGTAGTTAACAGAAACAGATGTAAGATATTGTAAAAACCAAAAGCTGACCGATATGTGAAAAATTAATTCTGTTCAGTATTTAAACTAATAATCTGATTTTCATGAATAATTGTCAATCATTCACTTAACATTAACTCAGACCATCGATTGCTTAGTTATGTCACACACAAACATGAATAAACTTCCTTATTCAACAATAACACATCAATGGAAAATTGTTTACTAACTCTGCATGACATTCAGTAATTAATTTGATTAAACTTGGCCAATATTGCATTTTTTTAATCAAAGAAAACGCGGCTATCACTATACACAAAAAATTCGTTTAATCAGGATATGCATTGACTGTGATCGAGGATTACTTCCTCAATAGCTCCCCCTTTTTGTTTATCAGAAAAATTGTTCAGCAATCACACAAGTTTATATTACCTATTTTAAACTTTTTATTCGGATGATAAATACTATTATGTTTGCTGTATAAGCTTGAAATGAGCACTTTTAACTTTATCATTAAGAGGGATATGTGGAAATTGTAGAATTTTCACGGCTAAAATTACCAGTAGATCGACATTATAGATTTTGAAGACCTTGACACTTGAGGGACAGGACGGAATGCAATGGAGATTTCGGAATGAATTAGAAGATTTGGAGTCCATAGATGACCTAGCCATACTATCCCATACACACAAACAAATGCAGATGAAGATAACTACTGTAGCAGCAGCTTCTGCATTAGTAGGCCTCAATATACACGAAGGAAAAACCAAGATCCTCAAACACAACACGGAGAACACCAACCCAGTCACACTTGATGAAGAAACTCTGGAAGAGGTGGAAACATTCAAAAATCTGGTTGGTATCATCGATGAACGAGGAGGATCTGATGCAGATGTAGGGGCAAGGATAGACAAAGCAAGGATAGCATTCCTACAATTGAAGAACATATGGAACTCACAACAACTGTCAACCAACATCGAAGTCAGAATCTTCAATACGAACGTCTAGACAGTTCTATTATACGGAGCTGAAACTTCGAGAACTGCTACAACCATTATCGAAAAAGTGAAAGCATTTATAAACAGTTGTCTACACAAGATACTCAATCCCCATTGGTCAGATACCATCAGCAACGGCCAACTGTGTGAGAGAACAAACCAGCTTCCATCTGAAGAGGAAATTAGGAAAAGACGTTGAAAGTGGATGGGACTTACATTACGGAAATCACCAAACTGCATCACGAGGCAAGCCCTAACTTGGAATCCTGAGGGTAGACGGAGAAGAGGACGGCCGAAGAACACACTACATCGGAAATGAGAATCAGTTATGAAATGGATGAATAACAACTAAAAAGAGATGGAAAAGATTAGGCAGGACAGAGTTGGATGGATAGTGCTAGTGAGAGGCTTATACGCCTCCACGAGGGTTAACAGGCGCTAATAAGTCAGTATCTATGCTTGAAATGAAATAGATGGATTCGACAATAAATATTGTCCCGCTTATTTGAATGAATAGCTGAAAACAGAGTTAACGTTTATTTTAGTATTTTGAATATCTAAAAATGTTTGACAGATTCTTTCTATATAAAATCTTTAAGTGAACATTAGAAAGAAAGGAAACAAAACAAGGGAAAAACACACCATTTTAATAACAATAATAATGACAATAGTTTTAACGGCATCCAATGAATGACCAAATTGGTTAATAATTAGGATAATTACTACTTTTCAATAACCAGTCGATGAATTATAAATTAATCATGATCATATATTCAGCTGTTTTAATGCATAAACAACATTATTTTCATGTTACTAAGCTAATCGTATGTTCTTAATAATTATTAAAAATGAATCAATATAAAACGTGTCGTGATCATATATATATAGTCGAAAAAGATTAAGTTTCAAATGTAGTTCCAATTAAACGTGTCGACTTATTGATCACTACAAAGGTGATACAATATGACATTTACAGTAGCTCAAAGAGTTTCTGGGCTATGAATACGAAATACGAATTCCTAAGTAAGAGATGTATGTATACATGAGATATGTAACTTTCACCATATACACCGGCATACACACAGGCAAGTGTGAATAACGTTTTACGCTATGAAAATAACCGTTATTTGTCAAACATTTCAATGTGATTACTCGAGAAGTTGAGTAAATCCTACCTATTCGTATCACAGCCAATGAGTGTAGCTAACTGTTAGTTGGGTGTTTGATCACAAATGTCTTAGAAATACTGCTTGCATCTGCTGGGATCACCGGGTAAGTAATAGTTAGGTTAGACGCAGGGTATTAGGGAATGATGGTAGATCAGTTGATGAGGTTGTGAATCTTCATCGACTGAGATGGCTGGGCCACGTGTTACGTATACCTGAACAGCGATTACCACGACGAGAAATGCTAACTGGTGTTGGAGATGGTTGAAAGAAAGTTACGGATGGTCAAACCAAAACGTGGTATCAGTGCTTGAAGTCACTGACTTCGAGTCTGAGTCATGTTGTTAGATGCAGATTACTTGGTTGAGGTCCACGTGACTATCGCAACCAATGTTTGAAGACTGTAGGTGACATGGTTCAGAATCGATCACAATGGTGTAGGTGTATACACTCCTTGTCTTCCCTTAAATCGTGAGATCATAATTGATTTATAACTTTCTTTTTAAGAACTATTTCTTTCTTTCTGTATTATATCCTTATACACAATCTTCCTTTTATATATTACTACCATTGAAGTAACTACATCTATGAATTTGGTGTTCATCTTGTTGTGCTAATAAGGTGTGGCAACTTGGCTCGATGTATATATGTGCCTGGTCCTACGTTATAGCTGACATATATATATATATCTTTAGGCCTGAGATTATTGAGAAGTACACTTGATAATCATGAAGTTACACCATAGCTAGTACAGTGCATTCACCGAATGTATATCTATCACAGTTCATAATGAGTAAACTGGGTTGTAAAGTCGACATGTCTAAATAATTTCTTTAATTTTAATGTATTCTGAAGAGGTCAAGTAATACTCGAATAAAGTTTCATTTTTATAGACAAAGAATTTATGACTAGTGATGGTTTATACGTTCGCCTATCAATACATACAACCAGTTTCAATATACAGTTGTGCAAATGTGTCTCTGTATATGTTGTCTTCTAAATAAGAATATTTAATATCCAACATTATCACAACCCCCCCCAAATCATATATATATATATATATATATATATATATATATATATATATATATATACATATATATATATATATATATATATATATATATATATATATATATATATATATATATATATATATATATATATATATGCATCCATGCATACATGATTAGTGTGTGTTAAATTAAAGATAGACAATTTAGTAAAAAAAAATGAAATGCGTGTATTTATGTGTCCGTGTGAAATGTTTAGACCGTTTTCTGTATAGCCAAATGGATAAACTCAATCATAGGAGAGACAGCAGGATAGCAAGGCTACAGGGCTATATAAGAACAGTATAAGCTAATATTAAAGAAGACTATACATACTTATTTGAGATACGAAAACATATGGAACTGTAGTTATTTCTATGCTGGTTATTCATGTAAAGTTTTTTTATTAAAAATTATAATACAAAACTGGATGACTACTGATCATTTGAATAATTATATTATAGATATCAAACATTTTTACGATATCTGTAAGTTAAGCGTTCGCGCGTGAGATCTAAGTTCCTCATGGATGCTCATGGATGAGGAGTCCCATACTAAGACTTAATGACCGTCCAATGTTTCTAGGTTTTCAATGGTAGTCTAACATTAATCGATTCATGACTCCAATCGAAAAAAATGTAAAAACTTACCGGTAAAAGATGAAATCGTTTTTTAAGATCTGAACTAATTTTTAATTCATTTGCCGATTGCATTAATTTCACAGGAAAATATACACGTATTGTAGCTAAAGCATCATTTATAATAAAATTATCATTAGATACATTTTCCATTGTATCAATTCTATTCGTTAGTGAATTTGATAATTCCTTACAAGAATCATTTATAGGTTGAATAACTAATCCAGTAGTTCCTTTATTATTACGATGAACAACATTAGAATCGGAATTATCTTTTGATTGAATATATCCATTCGTTGAATTTCGATTCTGTTGTTGTTGACCTTGTTGTTTATCATGTAAACGTTGAAAGAAATGTATCGGTGTACATAGAATTGGTAATTTTTTATCATTACTTAAATCTAATGGTATTGTATAACCTAATTTTATATCAAATTGTGATTTACCATATTTATTCCAACATGGATTATGTATTCGTATCCGATTATAAAATAATTGTGATTGATGTTCACCAAAACAATCAATTAATTCAATTTTACATCCAGTTAATTCACTTTTAATGAACATTGGTCTTTGAATATACTTTTTTCAATAATAATAATAATTTGTTTTAATGATATACATTGGATACGCAAATAATGACATCCATGGATATATCCACGATTATTATTTTGTTTGAATTGAATCAAAGGGATATATTTCATATAAATTTATACATTTTTCTTCTCTCTCTCTTTTTATCAACAATTATATTATCTAATATAATAAGAAATACTAAAATAAACTTAGTCTAAAATAATTTTAATATAGTTGGTTACTATTTATTATTTCAATACAATAGTAATCATATATGTTACACGCACAAAAGATCACGTAACTACTTATGTACCTACAAACTTTACACGTTGTGATATGATTCTAAAATCGATATATGGATTTAGATTTAACACATTTATAGAAATACATTTGTATGTATTTTTACTGTATGTGCATTTATATGATCCTGTGTGTTGATACGATAGATCGTTACACCGCAATCATATATTAACATACTTATTATCCAAACGTTTTAAACGTGTTCGTATATATTAATACGGGTATGTTTGTATTCACTCTATAAATTTGTTCATATGTGTGTGTGTGGATGTGAATGTGAATATGTGTATATGTTAATGTAATACTTGTTTATACTTGTAATCACAAAATAGATAATCCAACTATATTCAATGAGCACATTGGAATAGTAACACTATAAACCAAAGTAAAGAGAGAAAAAAAATTATTGTAAACATGTTTAGAATAAGATTTAATTATCATCATTAATGATGAAGTAAAATTTCAATATGAATATTAAATTTATTTCATTGTGGAAAATTTCTTTTTAAGATAATTTCAAAATAAAAATATAAACAAAATAATACCAAACATTGAACTCAACTAACTTTTATGATGATTTCTGGTATGTTTTTTTTCCCCTTTATCCACTAAAAGCAAACAAATTAAAAATTTGTGTGCAAATCTGTTAGAATAAGCATGATTTGTTAGAGGTCGTAATTATTCATACCGAGCGTTTTAGATTTTTGCTTTAGGTCAGTATACAGAATCTGGCCTGTCTGTCTATCTATTTATATATTTATATATATATAACTATACATACTAACTAGTTAGTATTTGTCTATTTGTTTGGTTGTTTGTTAGCTGTCTAACAATGCTTGTTGGTTAGGCCAAAAACAACTTAAACATACTATGCCTATGATCGATTGGTTAAATATATTTAATCGAAAATCCACCCCTTTACACATAATAATATACAACACAGGCATGGGCTGATTTGTTTGTCCGACAGGGGGCTGATTTGAATTTTACCATCTGGCCAACTCAAGTCATATTAGGACTTTCGGGAAAACGACGCTAATTAAGGGAAATAGAGGATTTAAATATTCATCATCGGGGATAGATTTAGAAATTAATGTAACCCTGTTTTCTCATGATCCATGTATAATAAACCAAAAATCATGTCGTCAATCAAACTAATTTTGTTTTTGAAAAAAAGCACAACCCATTTCCTTTAAGATTAAGACTAGACGAAAAGCAAACATCTGTATTTGATTAGAAGTGAACTTAGAAATGGCATTGTTTTTAAAAAAAGAATAATTAAATTAGTTTGTCACTACTTTTTAACTAAACTATTTCAGACATGATTGAAATTATTGAAATATAATGAAAATATGACACCATTTTAAAAAAAAAAACTTAATTTCATTATTCAATACGACGTTATTGTTAATTTCTTAATAAAGACAAACGTTCATCCTGGATTTTACTGTTAGCCACTATTCACCTCTGCTTGTGATAACAATCAGCCCTGATTCTTAGCAAAGTTACTTTACTCATGTTTCATGTTGTCTTCTTTTAATGAATCGGAATTTTTTTAATCAAACAGTTTTATTTAGTTAATATTGTTTATCAATGGATAATAGTTGTATGTATGTGCGCATATCACTTATATTAATCGGTCATTAACTAACAATCAATGGTGTGTCTACTTTTCAGTGTTATCGGGATTGTGCGTAGAGTATTATCACCAAGCTAAGTTACTATGAGTACCGAGTGGTAACCAGCACTATGCTTGTTTAATCCTTTGTACTGATCAAATTCTATTGATCAAGTTAGAAAGTCGACGCTACTCGAAGTGATTTTGCATTGCGTGTAATATGTTGAAATATCAAGTGGTTCGAGGTAGTCGGCAGGTGACCGTGGTCCTTATTTTTATTCTGGTCTGCACTCGTCAGTTGGTCATACCTGGAATTTTGAAGAAACTCCTGTTCCTTTTGATGTCCAAAATCAGATCACCTAGCTGTACAATCTGAGAAGCTGCCACCTAACAACTTGATAGACATAATCCGATCAGTAAATTTAGTGTTTCATATAATCTGATAATCATAGTGCAGTTTGACCAAAACATCAGCGAAACTATAATTTATTGATAACACAAAATTCTAAGGTGTGATAACCGCTTACTACAATAAAGTGATTGGTTTATCAGACTTATTACGATATACTAAATGCCTTTAAATTGAATGATAAACGAAATATCAAACAAATGATCTTTTGGTTATTATAGTAACACTATGATAAAACATTTGTGGGTATGTGAGGATTTTAAATAATAATTTCCACTTTATACCAATAAGTATTGACAAAAACGTAGGTTTTACTGATACTTAACTGTTGTGCTTTTGAGCATTGTGACAGGAGGTTCCAACATGTGCTACTAGTATGCAAACTGACAAGTGAAAAAGTCATTATAGTACAGGCATTTGTGATCTAACTATCATTACTTCAAATTTCGACCAGGTTGTTATGTGTAGTACAATTATTATAATATGATCAATGACGTATGCTAGTTTCACTTTGAAACCATACATACAGGGGGGAAGCAATATAAACTGAAGATCCAGTAGAAAATAAAATAGAGGAAATCATTAAAACGGATAAATCATTTAATTCGGCAAACTAGTAACATCTGTTGATGACAAGTGTTCATGAGTGATATTACCGATTAATTGATGTTTAGTATTACTCAGTGTAATGTATTTAAATTCGACTATTGTTCAACAAAAGCTAAACATGATAAAGTTCAGAGTATTTGAATATAGTTTTGGTCTATTTTTTGGTGACCTTCATTTATAATCCATGCTAATTTCCCTACCTTGACAAATATGAGTCTTCGCGATTATAGTATTTAACTCTGGTAATCACAATTCCCAACTGGAAAATTTATTTACACCAGTTTAATTTGAGTCAACAGTAACCACATAAAAGATTACAAGTTGGAACGTTTTGCTAATGTTTTCATTTAATAACTATTCTACCCAGTAGTTTTTTCGTTTGCTTTTTAATGAAACTTAAAAATGCGTTTAAATGATGAACAAAGTGAACTGAACAAATATTAACCTAAACGGGTTAGTGTGTGCATTTTATCATTTATTATAATTTAATAATAAATTCTCACAAAATCTGTACAATAAAAAGCATGAAAATAAGATAATTTCTCATTTTCCACACATTACAAATCACTGAATTAAATTTTATTCACTAGATTGGGTTTTATGATTACTATCATTGTGCATAACGGAAGCATATAAAAGTTCTATGTTGCAACAGAGAAAACAAATCATAAGGGTATGGAATTTTGTCAAGATTAACAAGAAATACACAAGTTAAAAATGAAGAACAAAAGAAAAGAAGCGAAAGAAATGGGAAGAAATACATGTGTATCATTTAGTCTAATGTTAAAATATTTCGCCAAAAACTCTTATTCTTATGTTTTATCTCCTTGAACAGCTTATAGAAAAATCCATGTATGTCATGGATTAGTGGAGTGTTTGGATATGAACATTCCCAATTTAATCTTACTTCAGCCAACTCCACAAGTCATATTCAGTCGTTTTATGACAAACCTAATGCGTAACCCTAGGACAACTTACTTATTGAAGGTTCACAGGTCTGTCATTTGATCTACCAACTTTGTCTAGAATACTGCACCTGAAATCGGTACTTCTTTTTTGGTTGTTCTGACATACCCGAGCCACGTTGCAAAAGAAACTTATCGTTTGAATGTTTACAAGTGTGGTTTATTCTTACATCCGTAGAATGGCACAGAAAAGACCGTAACACAGTATAATTGTCATCTGAGAGACAATGGTGAAAAAAACTTTAGTAAATTTCAAATACTTTTATCTGAAACCAGTTTATCAGGGCTGATATTCTCATCACAGTCTGTTTAGACAAGTTTTGGATCATTATATTGTATACAGCAGTTTGGTAACATTCTTCCATTCTTTTAATCGAATTTTTTTTACTTGGAACGTATTTATTTTTATTTGTTTATTAATTTACTCTTTTTCATATGACTCGATCGGTTGTAGTGAAGGAAATCGACGTTACAACTAATTTATAAGGAATTACTATATTATACCGTTATTTTTTGTCTTGTTTATGCTCATCCCAGTTATCAATGAAATAACTATTGTTTGTTTTAATAAAAATGTGAGTGAGGTCAAATTTCACCGTAATCATTAAAAAATTAACGTCAATTTGACAGAGTATTATTTCTTTTCTCTTTTTTTCTGCATGATCTACCATCTTCCACAGAAAACACTTTTGTAAAATATCCGGATGATCTCACTGTATATATGCCTATCTCTTCTTCCTTACATCCCATAGAAATGAATGAGTTTTTGTCTCGTATTGATTGTTGGTCTGTTGGTAATAATCTCATACTTAATCCGTCTAAATGTCAAGCTGTTGACCATAGCATGAGACATGAACGGCATCAAAACACCATTTTGAGATCCAATAATGCTTGTGCCATTGGGGACTCTTTGATAAACACAGTGTCGAAGGTCGATTATCTTGGTGTCACATTTTCCTCTGATCTCTCTTGGTCTTCCTACGTTTTATTGTTATCGAAGAAGGTTTACCGTCTGACTTACTATATAAGGAGATAGCATGCTCTTTGGATTACTCGTCATTTACTATTACAATTTGTCAATTCTTGCATATTACCTACTATTATTTACTGTTCTTCATTATTCTTTCCCGGGTTTTTGAGAAAAGACTTTGCTGTATTGCAGAGAGTGCTGAAGGCAGTTAGCAAGGTGTGTGGTGAATATTTCGAGATCGTAATTGATATGGTTGTGGATAGATATCTAAAGTCATGCAAACTCCTGGCAGGTGTTATTTTATCAGATACTAACCATCCCCTTCACTCTTATCTTTATCCTTGTGTAGCTTCTGGTAGAACGAAACGTAATTACATTAAAATTCATGCACGCAAGCAGAAGTATAAAAGTTCTATAATGCCTTACCTGGTAAACATACTCTGTGACGAACAGGTTGTTAGAGTTAACCTAGTCAATAACCTGCATTCTTAACATGTCTCTCATTTTAAAAGTTGTACAGTTTCTCGATTTTTTTTAAAACCTTTTTTTCTCCTTTTTTTGTATCTGTCACCGCTTTTTTGCATAAGTAACTTGTTGAAATACCCTGTGTTGAGAATTCTATATTGCACCAAAATATAATATTGAATAAAGACAACGGCGGCCTGCTTGAATATCTGGGCTACCTGTTCCTCCGTTCTACATATTTCATCAAGTTATCTGTTTTGTTGTTTGTTTTAGCACATCATTATGTCTATTGTGCTCACAATCTATTCAGGCGCGTTTATGAAAAGTTTACAACCTTTCGCTATACGGGATACAAAAAGGTACAATCAGCGACATCATGGTAGCCGGCAATATGTATTGAAACGAATGAATATTAATCAAATGTGGACTACCAAACTCCTAACACCTAACTGGTCATCATTCAAAATTTATCGTCACAATCGATCAAGGTATAAGGAAAAAGAAACTTGTTGAAATACTTTATGCTGAGAATTCTATGTTGTATCAAAAATATAATGTTGAATAAAGCTTCTAATAATAATAATAATAATAATAATA